GAGCTATCTAGCTCACCGGGTCCGTGCCACCAAAGTGGGTGATGTAGCAGCTCTTGCGGTGTTATGCCCCTGCTAGCACAATCAGCGGGATTCTGCGCCGAACGAATGTGACGCCATCGATCTGGAGATGTCAACTCTTGAATCCTGCGAACACGGTTTGATATAAATGGTTTCAAGGTTGATGGTTGCTTCTTAAGCCAGCATAATACAATTGCAGAGTCCGACCACAGAATGTATGGAGCTTCGGACATGCTCAGGGCCGATTGCACATGCCGGAGGGTTTCCGCTAACAACACTGCTGCCGAGAGTTCAAGTCGTGGTATGGTTGAGCCTTTGAGTGGAGCCACTTTCGTGCGTGCAGTAAGGAGCGAGAGCGGCGTTGCGTGGGAATCGTCTATTGTCCTTATGTAGATCACGGCCGCGTATGCATATGAGCTGGCATCGCAGAACCCATGTAACGTGGTCCGGCCATGTCGCACCATACCCAACCACCGCTCGATTCGAACTTGATTCAGAGCCTTAAGCTTGGAACGATACCTCAGCCATTCCTCACGAAGGTCGTCGGGTAATGGAGTGTCCCAAGACAACCCCACAGACCACATCTTCTGAATGAAAACCTTCCCCGTTATTACTACGGGGGATAGCAAACCAGTAGGATCCAAGAGTCGAGCGACTTCCCTAAGCACGCTTCTCTTGGTAGGACATCTACNCGGGGGACAGCAAACCAGTAGGATCGAAGAGTCGAGCGACTTCCCTGAGCACGCTTCTCTTGGTAGGAACATCTATGGTCGGCTCAACCTCAACGCGATAGAACAACTCATCAGTCACCGAATCCCATTTAAGGCCCAGGACCGAAGTCTCGCCGGAGTTGAATGTATAACTGGAAATAGAGGCGTTACTCGACAAACACATCGTTACCTGATTATCGTTTGAGTTCCATTTGCTCAGCCTATACTTTCCCGCAGATAGAATAGCATCTACACTCCTTGCCAGTTCTATTCCTTCACTGGTATTCGCACAGCTTGTCAAAAAGTCATCAACATAGAACGAAGTCAAGATTGCATCTCGAGCAAGAGCCGCCTGATCCTCGTCTCGAATTACACTGCAGTTATCGACCGCACACTGTTGAAGGGCACGTACGGCGTTGTAAGGGCTGCTCGCCATCCCATAAGTGACTGTCTTCAAACGATAAACACCGATATTGTCTGCCGGTGACTCTCGCCATATGATCCTCTGGAGATCCTGATGTTCGGAGGTAACCAGCACCTGCCGAAACATCTTCTCAATGTCAGCGGTAATCGCCACTGGGTATCTGCGAAATCGTAACAGTATGTTTACAAGTGAGTCCTGAATGGTCGGGCCCACCAGCTGAATGTCGTTGAGGGAAACGCCAGTACTCGTTGGCGCTGACGCGTTGAACACGACTCGAAACTTTCCAACAACCGCATGATGAGGGATGTAGTAGCACCCGTCATGAGAATATGGTGCTTGCACAGGCTCCATATGCCCCAGCGCAGCATACTCACGCATAAACTTCACATAGTTTTCCTGTAGTGTAGGGTCAGCAAGCAGGCGGCGTTCCAGTCGAGTGAACTGCCGCAACGCAAGTGAATAAGAGTCGCCTAGTACCGGCGCGTCCCGCCGCAGTGGTAGATGCACGACGTAGCGCCCGTCCAGGGTACGACGATGTGTGGAGTCAAAGATGTGACCACACTCTTCATCATGAGATTCATAATCAATTGAATCGCCATCTATTCTCCAAAGATTCCGAACCAGTGCTTCCAACCGCACTTCATCCTCACCTAGCAACGCGCTGAGTGCGAGCGATGATGACCCATTCGATGTAGAAAAAACAGTTTCTGGGCCAAATACTACCCAGCCAAAGCGGGTACGCTGGGCGAAGGGTTCATCAGGTCGTCCGCCGATAATGTCACCCTCCACTACTTGTCCCCACACATCCGCACCAATAAGAACGTCAATAGTTCCTGGAGTACCAAACCAAATATCCGCCAAGTCCAGTTCCTTTAAGTGGGACCACTGGCGCATGTCCACCTTCATCGCAGGTGTCTGAGAAGTGATAAATGGTATCACCAGAGCTTCAATATGCATCTCAAATTTAGTAGTTGTAGACTTCAGTGTAAGTATAACACTGCCTTTAGCTTGCGTGTTGATGGCTGCTCCAACACCTTCGATGTTAACACTACACTTCCGTCGAAACAGCCGTAATGCGTTTGCAAAGCGATCTGTAATTAAGCTAACCTGCGATCCTGGATCGCACAAGATACGAGCCACGCGTTGAACCAATGCCTCTCCATAAGCATATGCCCGTGCTGTCGCTAAAAGAGTTATTGGCTTGGATTGGGCAACAGTGGCTGCTGCAGGGGCTGCTAGTCACAAAGCAGTTGTTGATTTTACTTGACTGGTTCCTTCATTAGACACGTGGGGTGGAGATGGTGAGGCTGGCTGTACAATGGTCGAAGGTTTGTCGCGGCACAAAATGGTGTTGTGCTTGCGGCCACAGCTCCTGCAACCTCCCGATGGACACTGCCTCGAAGAATGTCCACCACGTAAACAATTATAGCAAAGCTTCAAATTTCGTATTGCTTCGAACCGCTGCTCTATTGCCATTGCTATGAGTGCAGGACACTTAATAATACGATGAATTCCACGGCACCGTGCGCACTGTCCCACATCAGCAGCTGCCACGTGCGACTTCACCGAGCGTTGCTGTCGGGGCGGAGGTTCCGCAGAAATGCTATGCGCCCGTCTTTCAAGAAATTTCAGAAGATCTTCTAGTAGAGGTATTTCGTGTGAAGAACATTTCATACACCAGTCCCTTTTCGTAGCAGATGGTAGCTTCGAGACCACAATTGGCACCGATAATGCATCCCATTGATTGACGGGAATCTCCATGACTCGTAATGCGCGCAACGTCTCATGCACCGTGTCAACAATAGCTAGTAAGGCCTTCGATGATTCTTCTGCAGCTACTTTGAGGTTAAGGAAGCGTTACACGTGTATTTCAGCAAGCTGTTTCCTATTGTCGTAGCGCTCCTTCAAGGNACGTCTCATGCACCGTGTCAACAATAGCTAGTAAGGCCTTCGATGATTCTTCTGCAGCTACTTTGAGGTTAAGGAAGCGTGAGACGTGTATTTCAGCAAGCTGTTTCCTGTTGTCGTAGCGCTCCTTCAAGGCCTTCCACACCTCCTCATAGCCACCAGAGTATATACCTCCAACTAAGGGTACACTGCTCGCACTGACTGCTTGCCGTAGCTTACCCAACTTATACGCTTCAGGGTAAGAGGACCGTTGTACAAGCGTTTCAAAAGCATCTTTGAAAGCCAGCCAGTTACACATGTCTCCATCAAACGCCGGGATAGCTATCGGGTCTAGCTTCAAATCGACTGAAAACCCCTCTAGATTTGTGGTAGGGCCTGTGCGCCCTCCTGTACTGGGAGTGGCACTGATTTGCGCTCTAGATGTTCCAATACGTCGGTTCAACTTGCTGCACGCTTCGCCGTATAGCTCTTCAACTGTTTCCTACAGTGTATCATGTGGACCGATGTCTTCCGGTGCAGCTTCCCCTAGAATATGATTGTGGTTCTCGACGAATCGCGCGAAATGAGACTCCAGCGTTCTTAGCTCCTGTTCCAGCTGGTACAAATCATGGGTATCACCATCAGATTCCATTACCCTTGCATGTATACGTCGTATGGATTTTACGGCAGATGAACGCCAGTTCAGCTCCGCCATGCCGAAATATGTATAATATTCGAACTTACTTCTTTGTCCTCACAGGAGGCACCAGATGTTAAATAAAAGACTCCAACGATGTCCTCTAGAAATCGCACGTTTATTGCTGCAGATATTGTCGCAAAA